ATATCTGTTTTTAAGGTCTTTTTGACCCAGGAGTCTGTGACCTGTGAAATCTTCATTTTTTGGATTTGTTAAGATATTTTACAATGCAAGGATTTAAACTTAGATGAACACCACTGTGGGAAGTTGCCCGATGTGGCCCAAAATGTAAAGGATATCAGGTATAAACTGGAAAACATTGAAGAAGTTCTGACAATTAACATGTGAGAAGAAAGAATCTAAAGTTAAGGAAGTTTCTTTTCTTCTTCAACTTGCATAAAAGAGAACCTGAAATTTAACCTGGTATTTTCAACGCTCTGATTACTCAGCAGTGAAAGCATTGCCAAGAAAATGTACCCAAATCTTGAGTTACAGATTGTTCTTGCATCTGATTGGAAGGGGCATATGAGTTGTTTATAAGGTATTGCAGATCTAAAGCTGCACAAATGAAGGTTGAGACTTGGGGGAGGGTTTGAGTCAGTGAAGGGAAGCTTCATAGACATTACAGCTCTGTCCAGAGGCCAAATGGGAGATAAATCACCGCTGGCCACCTCTCTTATTATTGAAATGGTTCAGCCCTGGGGTTTAATGAAGGACTTAGAGGTTTTTGAAGTGCAAATAGGATGGTGAAGGGTAAACCCTTTTAGGGTTTCATTTTGATGGATTTTTTTCCTGTGTGGATTTCTGGCACTGACTGTGATCTGGAAGGAACCCTTAAAAAGGAAAAGTTTTGTTTTGTTTTTGATCAATCAGGCAATAAGAACTCTCCACTGGGGTGTACTTTTTCTGCATGCATATTGATCCTATTGTGTTTAAAAGTAGGTCATTTAATTGGGTCTTTCTTGAGCCTTCTGTAATGTAACTGTCATTCCAAAGACACCACTCTTTCTTGCTATTAATGCCAAAGTTTGAGAGTGTTGAAGGATGTGGTACTTTTGGGTAGGAGTTTTGTGGGGTTACTTAGGGTCAGTGTGTTAAAGTTGTCTAAAGATCAAGTCCATATTAGAACAAGACCTTCATATATTGATAAACAGCCTGTAATTATTTAATCTTTTCCCCATTGAGTTATGTAGTTGTACATATTTATTTAATTATTTTGTATGCTTTCTGTCTTGCCAGCATAAAATAAAAACCAAAAAAATTTTAGATTGTGAAATATTTGTACCGTCTTATTTATTCAGATACACTAAAGTGTTTAGGGAAATAAGGAAGACATTTAAAAAAATGTGAAGAAAGAGATATGTTGACTTACCAAGTTGAAAATTTTTCTTTTACTCCACAAGTAATTCAAAGAACAGATATCTTTTAAAACAATTTTTAGTAAAATTGGGATAGGGGGAGTCATTAGTGACTCCAAAAGAATTATAACTTAAAGGCTTTTTGTGCAAGAGTATTAAGTATTTGTCTTAAAGAAATGTCATTGTAAATCCTTCTATTTTGTTAGAAATATAATTAACAAAACTTTTTTTTTTAAGCATTTGGCTCTTTATTTTATATTTAACAGATATTTAGATATTTGTATTACTTACCCCGTTTGAAAATGATAACATTTAGCTGCATCAGAGATTTTCCTCTATGGTGCTTGATATCCTTTGGAAAAACGGGTTGTTGATCTCCGTAATTGACATTGATCACACAATATTCTTAATTGCCTTCCAAATCAGTTTTTGTTTTTCTGTTCTTCAGAAATTTTCCTTCACCGTATTTATCTAAATGTTACACTTAAAACTAAAATTAAGTGGTAGAGTTTACATTTTCCTAATGTTGAATGAAGACTTTAAATAAGATACTTAAAAAACAAAAGAACACTAGATAGCATCAGGCAGAGTCCTCTGCATCTACAGCATCCCTGTCATTCGTTTGTTGCTGGGAGATGTTAAAATGACCTTTCCTTTGTTAGAAAAGAGATCTGTAGTCCTTCCCAGAATCCTCTTGTTAACTGTCTTTTTAACCCAAGTTGGAGGCTGCCTAATGAATGAATGGTGAGCTTTTTTATGAGCTACACATACTGTTGACATTGTGTCCCACGTTGCTTTTTAATTTCTAATGTGTTTTTAATTTGCAAAGCATGCATATGCCTTTCAGAGCAGTAGAATTTGCCTTTCAGGGCAGTAGGATTGAGTCAGCATTTCTGAGTGACAGTATTGCTTTACGCAAACAAGCCAAGTCAGGCTTGAGAATGCTGTATCATGAGCCTTAGATTAACTGAAACACACATGTGAATTTCTCTTTGAATATTGTTGAAGAAAAGAAGATACTTGAGAAAGGCTCCCCCCCCCCCCAAGAACTTCTCTTGCCTCTTAGCAAGTGAATTGCCCCAATATAAAAGCATTGGGGCGAAAAGTGAGCCGCAGAGTGAAAAGGCAATCCACAAATAATCACTCTTTTCTGCCTTTGATTGTGTCAGATTTTTTTGGTGTGTGGCAATTGTTTTCTTTTTCGCTTAGAAGAGGTTTATGGTCCAATGTCTGTCAAGTCAGCCCCTGTCTTGAGGTTGCAGTTGTATTTCTCTCTGGAGTTCCTAGAGGTGATGTTATCTTTTGTTCACTCAGCAGTGTGGTGGTTCCTGAGAGCATCTGTCACTTTAGGCATTACAAGATGGATGGGTCTCCAGTGAACTGCTGGTTGAAGCAAATGGTGAAAATAAGAAAAGACAAGGGGCTTCGGGGTCTGCAGAGAGGACAGACCACAAGGAAATACTGTTTGTTAGAAATCAAGGGTAAGCTGAGCAATAGAGGAGGAGAGAGCAAAGATGGATTATATGCCATTTTATAAGCAACTTGGGAAGCAGAGTCTTTTGGTGGCTATCGTGATCTGAGGGGTCATCTGCATCATGGTAAATAATTCTGTGCTTTGGATTTGCAAAATGTGTCTGGACATTCCCAAAACCATCTGGGAAGAGGGCTGTGAAATTACAAGGATTCGGAATGTTTTATGTGAGGGTGTTGATGTTTGAGGGAATTAGTAGTCTTTTAAAATGTAAAAATTTAAACATTTATTAATCTTTAAGTTTTTCTTTATATTTCATATATCTCTATTTTTTCTTCCTCTATTTCTTTCTTGTGAACAACTGTAGATATTAAGATATTTGAAAAGTTGTAGCCACTTTCTAGCATCCTTACTGTTTATACTGAAACTTCTTTGACAGTTTTTTGCAGAGGGATTCTGAAAATTCTATGCCCAGGCCTTACGGAGGCTGGAGGCAGATTTTAAGTTATTTTAAGCAACCTTCTCTTTAATTTTATGGGCTCTTTGATGAAAGAAAAAAAAATTGTTATTGATCTGTCAGAACAAGGTGGAGATTTTCTATATTTAGAAATTAATTTTGTTGACAAAAGTCCAGTTTGTAAATCCTGCCTGTGTGAGCAAAGGAACAGGAAGGAACTTGGTCAGAGAGTGGAAAAAGGGAAGAAGGGCTTGCGGGTGTGTGTGTGGGGGGGGGGGGGGGGGGGTTGGGGGGGGGGGTAATGTGGTTGAAAAAAAAAATGATTTTGTCAAACTTTTTAGCACTCATCTATAAAAAAGACCATAGGTTGGAAGGCAAAGAAATTAAGATGATTAGAAGCTTTAAGCTATACAAATGGTAGAGTATCTTCCTTCTCTATGGGTGTAAATAATAGATGAAAGAGTAAGAGTGACAACAAAGGATCAGGTCGTTTAAGAGAATGTGTGCAGCCTGAATAGGGGTCTGTGGCCCAGGGCCAAAGGTCTTAGCTTTGAGTGTAATTAGAAGAAAATACTAAAATGTCATTACTAGCAGGTGAAGTGTGCAGCACGTGGCCAAAAATTAGCAATTTTAGACTCTGAAGCTATTAGAATTGGATTACTGACCTTTTTTAAAAATCATTAAGGTCCTTGTGGAGTCATATAGTTTCATTGGCAGTAATGCAGTTTGACCTTGTTGACCATATGGGGTAATCTCGGGTTTGGATGTAGGTAGCAAAACTCCTGACTTACGAAAGGATGTCTATTTGTGTGTGGGTAGATAGGAAATACATGAGTTTGAAAATCTAGGTCTTGCATTTTTATTTGTTCTTTTGCCTGAAGACATTCTTCTGACAATAAGAGAGGTAAGATAAAGATTTTTATTTCAAAATCTAAAATGGTGTTTTCTCTTTTCTCTCTTTCAACTTGACATAAAAGGAGAGTAAAATGAAAACGTTTTTTAAACATAAGTTAATATCACTTTAAATATTTTAGTGCTATAAATATGCATATTGAAATTAGTACATTCTTAGGACGATCTTTTGTTTTCTCTTTAGACACTAACAAAGAAATAGAAGCACTTCTAAGTTATGTATAAAAATCAATGACAAATAGTTTTTATTTCACTTTATGCTTTATGACTATGACCATGCAGTAGTTTAAATTGGCCATAATCTATCTAGAAAACTGAATAATATGTACACTGTAATTTTTACCCAGCTATAAAATTAGAAGTAGTCTAATTTCTTCTAAGAATACACCACTCAAAAGAGTAGGAAAACACTAGCTCTTTTTCTTCTGGCAGGCTTTTTTCTTGGAAATTATTAAAGCATTTGTTTTTAAAAGTAGAGAATAACTTTAATCAATATTAGCTATGTTTATATTTTTTATAGTTCTTTGAGGAGGTAAATTTTGAAAAGCATCAGAGAAACTTTAACAGAATAAGAAAATTATCTTCCACTAGTTTTATTCCTAAAAATAGAATAAAAGTTTTTGGGTTTTTGGGCTTTTAGCATTATGGTAACACCTGTCAAAATGCAGACTTGACAGGTTTATTCATTTTACAGTTAGTGAGGGGAAATCTTAAGAACAACAGAAATTATTTTTGAATATACATAAGTATGAATGAGTATTTTGGGAGTATTGTCTTAAGAAGGAGAAATATCTGTATCTGCCAGTTATGAGTTGTGTAATCTTTTGATAATTCATTTCTCATTGTCATTTCTGTGGAATTGTAAATATTTACACTATTGTGTTCTGGAATATAATGTATTTGTTAAATAATTCATCTTTATGTATATATTTTTATGTTTTTGCAGGTGCAAAAAAGCTTTAAACAAGTAAAATCTAGGCAACAGGCTCCCTGAAGTGTTGACATCCCAACTTAATCATGAACGTGACTCAAAAATGTTAATAAATAAACCAAGGTATTGTACAATTATAATATACCCCCAAATTTTTCAAGACCAAATTTGTTTTATGAAGTTATAGTTATAATTTAAACAAAGCTACAATATTTGGTACTTAAACTGATTAACCAGATATTTCTATGAACTCTCCTTCCATTTCCTCCCCTTTCTGCTTTCCTCTCTCCTCCCCCATCCTCTCCACTAAAAAAGAAAAGGAAGAAAGTATTCAGCAATAAGTTTTTTCCCCTACAACAGCCTCTGTGTTATACCTCCTAAGTATCTAAATTAAGATAATAGAATTTAGTTTTTTATTCCCCTTTGTTGATTCTGGTTCTTTCAAATTGTCTAATAAGTGATTATTATTAATTATATAGATTACTATCCTCTGCAGAAAAAAAAAAAAACAACCAACCATATTCAAATTGGAACCAAACTATCCTGAGATGTATGCTTTTAAAATTTTATAAAAGTGTTTTTTTTCTATTTTTAGAAGGCTTGTAATTTAGAAAAGAAAAAGAGGCGATATTGCCCTTTTTCTCCCTGTGTCAAAGAAAATCAAAAGTTAACTTAGAATTGAGCATTTAGGGGTACTGTTTTAGCTAACCCTCATCTGACAGGGCATAACCCAAGACTGTCTCTCTCCTTTTGGAAGTTACAATGTGCTTAAATAGCCTGGCATTTCCAAGAGAGGCCAAAGATCTTTTCCTCTTTTATGACCCGTCGTATCCTTTTGAGGCCAGCAAGAACAAGAGGGTCATTGCCACTTCAGCCTGGTCCCTGTTGTTCCCTCATGGTGACCACGCAGATTGAAACCTAGTATTGGCGTAACATTTGGGCCTGGAACATCTGGAAAGCGGTCAGAGATGGAGCTGAGGAGACAGGAGAGAGAGAACTGTTGCGTTTTGTTACACCAGGTGCTAGGAGGAAGCCACGTTGGCCTTTTTGATATGGGAGGCAAATTCTGTGGGCCCTGGAGTTAGGCTTCAACAATTGAAGAGGTCAAAGGACAGCTGAGTGGGGTCAGTGAGACACCATGGGGTGTATTTTGTTACTTAGTAAAAGGAGCAGCCTCCTAAAACCTTAAAGGATTCTCTTGAAAATCTGTGTTGTGAAAAGGTTTTATGAGTCTCACGGCAAAACTCCTGATTTATCTAAGGAATGCTTGCTTTTGTCTAATGGAAGGATAATCCTTACCAAATGTTGGCAACTACTATAAGAGTCAATATAGGTCTGAGAGAATAGTTAGGGTTTGAAGCGTACTTTGCTTTCCAAAATATTTTTCATTTTCATGTGTTTCTCTCAGTGAAGAATTTTGCACTGTTGAAATATCACCCTTTTATTTCCTTGGAGCAGAAAGTGGGGGAGAGATAGGGATAAAGAATGAGCCTACATTAATTTAAAAATCATTCTAACAAGCTTTTGACTGGCCCACAAACAGGATATTACAAACCTTTAAAAAACACCAACACTTGTTAATCCTAAAACGTTATCTTTGAATTTTAATGTTTCTGAATTATAGAAGATTTTTTTAAATTTAGGTGTATTTCATAGAAGTGGGTATCAGTTAGTGAATAACCTTAAACCTTGTGTTTCTCCCTGAATGTGTTTCTTGCTCATTGTGTAGTTTAAGAAGAAAATGCTAGAATTAAGAATAAATAATTTAAAAAGCAAATATAATAGAGAATTTTCTCTTTGAAGGGAAATGAAGAAGGGGAGGGCGGGGGAGGATTCTGCATGTTGTAAGAGCTTTCTTTCCACAGCCCATGACCTCAACATACCACTTTATATGATTGTGGATATCTTTGAAGGGTGTCCACTGATAGGTAGTAAGGAGACTGTTAGAGGAATTTGGTAACTGTTCCAATTTTATACACTATATACTTGTACATATACATAGAGAGAGCATATATTACAATATGTATTAGTAAGAGAAAAAGATAAAATGATGAGAAGTATACAGTAGGCTTTGTTTAGCATTTTCTTACTGATTTATAAATTTAAAATATGTGAATTATTTGTATGTGTGATTTTTTTTCTATTCTTTTTGATAATTACTCATTTTAAAGCAACCTGTACTTAAATGTAGGGCTTAGTATGCAGTGTGTTCAATGTCTACTTTCTCAAGGTTAAAGTGCCTTTCAACAACTAATTTAGAAACCTAAGTGTAGTGACTGATAATTGCCTAGAGAAAATCCACAGCTGTTTAAGTAGCATTGAAATAGCGGCAAAACTGACAAATACAATTAGCCATGTTAATAAGAAGATGGAAAGACAGGCAGATGACAGTGTGGAAAGATGAAGGCAGAGGGAGTAGCAAAGTCCATGTGAGAGCAGAATGTTCAGTTTGCTTTGAATTTCCAGTGCTTTTTCTTTCAAGCTAAGTCCCTCTTCTACTACTCTCTGAACTACCAGAATGGGTGTTTTTGTCCTGTTTTTAGCAAGTTTACTAATTCAGATACACTTGTTCAGTTCCTAACTCACATCTAATTTTGAAAGATGATGGACAGGTGTTTGGCAGTACTGTTTAAGAAAAACAATCAGATTTTGCTGATTCTAAGGCACAATTTTAGTTGTGGTGCTTTTAAAAGTCGATTTTAAAGGTATTTCTATTTTACTATAATTACTATGAGTGGGAATTCCTTTATCTCTCTTCATACCCTTATAATTCTTATTACTCATTCAGTTACATCCCAAAGGAGCCCAAAGCCTTGTTTCTAGATTTAGTGACCCCGTATTACCAAAACAAAACCTGCAGAAGTCTTTAGTATATTATTGCTAATTATATTTATCTGGTTAATGTTCATAGCTCACTTTCCAAACAACTTATTAGGAAAATTAAATTGGGACTGGTAAATAAGAGAAATTAGATAAATATTATATGAAAAATTATTTCGTTATCTGTGCCCTTTCCGTGTTACCTTTAACGCACCCAGTGAGATGTGGAAAATTATTATAGTATCTTTTGAAATGCTACTCTTCATGTGGGAAATTGGCTGTTGCCTCTGGTGTGTTGTGCAGATTTTAATAGTTGTTGTGATAAATCCCCAGAAGTTTGTTGTCTGAAACCATAGAGACTGGGAACTCTCTGAATAAGACAGCCTTGATGGATGTGGTAAGCCACACTTGGGAAGCATTTCTCCTTATTTAATGTTTTCTGTTCTGGATTATTGACTCTTCTCCCTGTTGAAAAATTGGTCTCTGGTGGCATGGTAGAGGTCACACATTGCCTATTATTGTTTTGCTTCTTTGATCTTACACAGGGATTGCCTCTGGTAATTATACTAGTTCCAGAGAGTCTTGACGAGATGTGTTTATTTTACAGAAGAATTTCTGGTATTTCAAGGAGGAAGAAAGTAAAGATTTCCAATAGTAACATGTAACTCTGTCACAAAGGAAACATAGCATTGTACTTTATCTTTTAATTATGACAGTTTTTAATAATAATTATTAAATGAGTTGGAATATTACAATAGTTATTTCTATAACAATTTAAGATATATTATGTATCTATAAAGTATTATTGGTAAAAATGGTTATTATATAATTAAGTTATTAGGTCAGGGTTTTTATTTCAATACCAAAAATACTTTGGCCTCCAGAAATTGTCAAGGGATTCATCCACATTTAAATGTACAGAACCATTAAAAGAGACTGGAAATTTTATATTTTAATCTGTTTGCATTTTCTAAAGATTTTTAGCAAGGAGGATGAATAAAAATAAAATAAAACTTTTGTTTTGAATGCTTGGTTAGCTTTGTGATTTTTGGAATATGCTTAGGAAGAGATAATATCTCTTCAAATCCACTTAATGTATAATTGGATAAAACACAAAAAAGCTCAATATGTTTATTTTTTAAAATTTGGTTCCTATTTTTAACAAAATATTTTCCCTCAAGAACCCATAGTCCAGTAGGGGAGTCAGACAAATACTAGATCCAACTATTAAGAGTGACAAATATCAATTTAAAGAATAAATGAAGAGTACAAAAAAGAACTAAAGAGAACTGTGTAAATGTTGGTTTAATTTTGGATTATGGATTCTATAAGAACTCCCAAGAACCGTGTTTGATTTCTTTGTCTAGTAGTCACACATTCTCATTCTCATTTGTGAATATGTGTGTGTGTGTGTGTGTGTGTGTGTGTGTGTGTGTGTATAAATCCTCACCCAAGAATATATTTTTCATTGATTGTGGAGATGAAGGAAGAGGGAGAAAGACAAATATCAATGCGGAAGAGAAATATCATTTGGTTGTCTCACACATGCGCCTTGACCAGGGATCAAACCCATAATCCTTTAGTGCACAGACAGTGCTCAAATCATTGAGTATACCAGCCAGGGCATCATCAGTGAATATTTTTAAGAAAAAGGGCATGTAAGCAGTGATGCTTATAGCACATAATTTTCTTACACAGAGTCTTAAGAATCTACTGGCTATAGAGGACAGTAATGTTTTGTATATATGATTGTAAAATTTCCTAATGAGAGACTAAACAAATTGCCCAATATGGTACAGGCTGGTGGGTGCAGAATTTGAATTAAGGTCATCTGACTCCAGAGTCTATGTGCTTAACCACTTCAATAGTAGGATTTATATAAATGCTGTATGTCTTGGTGGGTGATTGTTAAAGTTTGGAAAGTGGGTGACAATAGTAGAGAAAAGGGTAACAGAAAACTGACAACTTATACAAAGTTATCTTTTTAGTACTATGTCTGGCACATAGGCAATAAATTGTGCCTTAAAAACCCCCACTTCAAACCAAAACCACTACACACACACACACCACACATAGACTTTACCATCTTCACTTTCAAATAATGTTTTAGTGGGGGTGGGGGGAGGACACGGGCATTTTAGTCTAAATTTGAACCCTATTTTCATCATTTACAAACTAGATAACCTTGGCTTGTTGCAGAAACTAGATCATTTGCTCTGTCCACCTGTCCCTCATTCTGAATCTGCTTGTCTCCTTGTGGTTTCATTTACTTGTTCCTCGGTCCTATAAATGAGAGTTAGCTCTAGAGGTTGGACTGTAATCATTACACCCATCGGCAAGAATGCTTCCTAGATGGTGTGTGTGTTTCATATTATCTCCCATGGAGAGGCACACAGCCTCTCATTGCCTCACTTTTAGTGGTGCTAAGTTTGATCAGTGGGTTCAGGAAGTGTCAGCCTGATCCCTCCATTATAAAGTTCTCCATCAGCATTTTATCTAATGGTATCACTTGATATCATTGTCAAAATGAATTTTGCAGTAAGGGTTGCAAATTGGTAATTTTATAATTCTGTCATTCTTTCCACGTTTATTATAGTAAGAATTCTTCATTTTTAAAAAACCCTCTTTCTCAGTAATCAGGATTATTTGGTTACTTTAAGTACAGGAAGAGCAGAATGAATGCTTCACTCTTTCCTTTGTCTTGTAGTAGGGTTCAAATAGGTGCTTTGTTTTTATTTGTTTTGTTTTCCAAAAGGAGTGCTCTCCTTTTCTCTTGAATATTAACATTAATGTGAGATTTTACATTTTAAATATGCTTTAGTCCATTGCATTGATTTTCTTTTATGTTGAGTTTCTCTAATGTTGGGCCTATGGGAACACTTCATGTTGACTCCTGTGTCTTCTGATATGACCATTAGTCCTTGACAGCTTCGTTGCTTTCAGGAACAAGATGTTCATGGTTCATCTTTTGTCTTTCCTGCCCCAAATCTGGAAATGGCCATATCTTCCAGGAACTTTGATTCTTTTCAATGGGAATGATATTGGGAAGTACTTATTATTGAATTGCCATTGTTTCTTGGACTTTTCAGTAGACAATGCTTGGGAATAAAAATTTGAAACCTTTTAAAAAGTAAATTATTACCTCATATATCTATCCCCATCTACCTGCTTCAGAGCCTAACTAGCTGTTAAACCAGGCAACCCTAAAGTAGTATCCTAGATGCAGTTCTTTTTCTTTTAGCATGTACATGATTTTTTTATTGATTGAGAGAAAGGGAGAGAGAGTAAGAGAAAAAGAGAGAGAGAGAAAGGAACATTGATTTGTTGTTCCACTTATTTACACATGCATTGGTTGATTCTTGTATGTGCTCTGACCTCAGATTGAACCTACAATCTTGGCATATCAGGACAGTGCTCTAACAAACTGAGCTACCCGGCCAAGGACCATGAATTTTTTAGTGTTTTTCTTGTTCTTATCACTAACTATGATGATCCTTTTAACAGTACTTAAAAATATTGTTTATCTCCTCCAGATAGTTGTTATTAAAAGTTAACCTTTACGCCAGAACCGGTTTGGCTCAGTGGATAGAGTGTCGGCCTGCGGACTCAAGGGTCCCGGGTTCAGTTCCGGTAAAGGGCATGTACCTTGGTTGTGGACACATCCCCAGTGGGGAGTGTACAGGAGGCGGCTGATCGGTGTTTCTCTCTCATCGATGTTTCTACCTTTCTATCCCTCTCCTTTCTTCTCTGTAGAAAATCAATAAAACATATTTTTTTAAAAAAAAGTTAACCTTTACTAATAGCCCAAGTGCAGTACCTTAAAAATATTTTTATTTGGTCAAAAGAGAAACTTGTTGAGGGGGTACAGCTGAGTCAGTACAAGTATACCATAACTGGGGGAAATGGTTTGGAATATTATGCTAGAAGGCTGTAGTAGAAATTCCAACTCTTAATGAGAGGTTCTCATTCCAAGCACTGGAATGAATTTTATTTTCTCTGGAATCCTGAAGAACCAGAAAGGGGTGGAGGGGATGTTCACTTTGCAAATTCACTTGTTCTTACCGTCTTTTTAAATAAGAAGTCTATTTTTCAAAACTACAAAATAAACGAACAAGCAAAATAGAAACAGACTCATAGAGAACAGACTGACAGCTTTCAGAGGTGAGGGGGTTTATGGAACTGGGTGAAAAAGGTGAAGGGATTAAGAAGAAAACAAAACTCATACACACAATAGCATGGTGATTACCAGAGGGAAAGGGGGATGGGGGAGGGTAGAGAAGAGTATAGGGGGATAAATGGTGATGGAAGGAGGCTTGAATTGAGGTGATAAACATGCAGTACAATATACAATTGACGTATTATAGAATTGTACGCCCGAAACCTATATAATTTTATTAATCAATGTTACCTCAACAAATTCAATGAAAAATAATAAAATAAATAACAGCAAAAACAAAAACAACTACATGTTCAGCAATAGCATTGAATTACCAATGAGAAGGATCAGAACTTCATACTAAGCACTAAAGAAGTCTATGGTCAGTTCTATAATTCTTCACATTATTACCATTTTTAACAAAGCCCAGTTATGCTTTCATTTGGAATAAAGTTGGTCAGTTTCTTTCACTCTACCAAGTCTCTTCATGGTTACTTCTCTTTGTCTTCATCTGAGCATTGCTGATGCTCTTGAGGGATTATGTATGCCTTTTATGAGTCCTTACCCCTGGAACTTGGCTCTCTCTTCCTGCTGAGCCCAGATGCATACGCACTTTCCTTCTCAACCAGTCCTCCAGGGACTTCCTCTAGGAAGTCAATCCAAGTTGGAATTCCAGATAAAATTTAATATATCTCTCGCTCACTTTTCTGGGAAAAGTAGGGCTAAGATATTCTCAAAATTGCCTTTCTTGAAATGAGATTTACCCAAGTTGAGCCTATGTAATACTATAGGAGTACAGGATTTATCATCACATGGCTAGATATCACCCTTACCAGTTGGGCGATAGTGGGCAAGTCAGTTGGCTTCTCCAAGCTTCAGTTTTTTAATCTATGAAGTGGGAAGAGGTCATACAGACTTCAGAACACTGAGAATTAAATAATCTTTATAAAGTACTTAGTACACTGCCTAGCCCAACAGTTCTCAGACTTTTCATCTCAGAACCTTTTTATACTCTAAAAAACTGAGATTTATTTATGTAGATTATATTTATTAGAAATTAAAACTAAGAAATTATAAAATATTTTAATTAAAAAATAGTAAACCCAGGATGTATCAACATAAATAACAAATTTTATGAAAAATAACTCTTTCTTTTTTTAAAAGTTAGTAAGAAGAGTAGTCTATCTGCATTCAATTTGTTGCAATGTCATACATCATACAGCCTCTAAAAATTTACACATACAAGAGAATGAGAGTGGAAAAGGCAAATAATCTCTTAGTAATAGTTTGAAAAGAGTTCTGACCTCATGAACCTCAAAAAGGGTCTCAGGGACCTTAGACCTTACTTTGAGAATTGTAACGAATAGCACATGAAAAATTGTAGTTATTATTGATATACATGGAAAATTTTGTAACTAGCAAGTTCTGTACAAGTATTAGTGATGAGAATTAAAGACCATTACTTCAGAACTTCTTATTATAAACTCCTGAAGAGTCTCAAATAAGATTGTGATTCAGATGGAGCAAAAGACACAACAGTGTTTTTCAAATAAATGCTGGTAATGCATAAATGAGTCCTCTGAGTTTAAAAGGCTCAAATCTTGCTTTCAGAAATTTGTCAATTAAATATATCATCCTAAAGCTTTCATTTTTTTTTTCCCCAGAGAAGAATCTTTCCTCCTAGGGTAATAAGATCTTAGTAGAGAAAGAAGTAGAGATTTACTCTGAACCACTGATAGAGTTGGTGTAGGGTTATGGTAGCCACCAGTATTAACGTTGGAGGTGTGGCCCTTTGTCACCTGGTTGGGCTTCCCAATTGACAGGTCAGTCTTGATTTACTGGTTGGAGAACTTGGCATAAGGCATTATTACTGCTTGATTCTCAGATACAAGATCCTTTAAAGTGGCTTTTGAAATGTGTTTGGGCTGTAAAAACAAAAGGCAATGTGACCTGATAACAGATACTTTAAACAAATTGTCGTAACAAGAAATATATGTATAGTTCGTATAGTTCATATGTTAAGATATATGAATTAGTTTATATCAGCTATATGTGTATTCTGCAGACATATGGTCCTCTAACTATATAATTTTCTCCTTTTTTCCTCTTTTTTTTTGGGGGGGGGGGGGATGGTGGTGTAGACCATGGGGAATTCATATGCTGGGCAACTGAAATCTGCTCGATTTGAGGAAGCTCTCCACAATTCCATAGAAGCCTCTCTGAGATGTAGTAGTGTGGTACCACGGCCAATTTTTTCCCAGCTCTACTTGGACCCTGACCAACATCCATTCTCACCTGCAGGTAAGTTTCTCAATCGCATACATTCCTAGATTCCTTTTAAAAGAAGTGGGCCTTCCAAATTGGGGGCCTCTGAAATAAACTGGTTAATTGTTAGAAAATGCTAGTCTACCTGTCTTCAGACATCTTTCAGAACTATGTTTTCTTTTGATTATCTTTCCTCAACATCTTTTTATTAATTAGCTATGATTTATTTGCTTGCCAGATGTAAAACCCAAAGTGGAGGATCTGGATAAAGACTTGGTACAACGCTACACTCAAAATGGAAGCCTGGATTTTTCTAACAATCTAACAGTTAATGAAATGGAAGATGACGAAGATGATGAAGAAATGTCTGATTCAAATAGCCCACCAATTCCCTATTCACAAAAACCTGCCCCAGAAGGGTCTTGCACTACAGATGGTGGGTTTCACTTTTTTTTTCTTTAATCCCTCTAATATTGCCTGACTAGTTTCCAATCATTAGATGTTGTGCTCAAGGCTAGAAACCAATAATTACAGAAAGGAATGAAGAATAATTATGCTCTTACATTATCTCCTGTGACTTCATAGCAGGTGTTATAAGAAAGGCAAGTATTATCACCCCGTCTTATCGATGATGAAGGGACTAAGATTCACAGCAGTTGATGACTTTTTGAGATGGTATGTGACAATGGCAGACTCGGGTCATGTTTTGCTAATACTCCAGGTACTTCCTGCATGAATGGTACTACTTTAGGAAGTTTTTAGTGTTTTCTTTTCCTACTTCTTTCTTTTCTACCCACAAAACAATAACAGAGATAACAGATGATTTATATTTACCTTTTCCACTCATCCAGTATATTGTTATCTATAGAAAAGAAAAATGTATTTTGTCAACCACCTCTTCGACCACACTTTAAAAAAGAAAATCCTAGTCCTAATATAAAACATTTTCAGGACTTCATGGTTTTGGTGATGTCACAATTTAATTTATACCTTATTTTCTCCATTTTGTGATATACAATGCTGTTTTCTGATCTTCCTACCCTAATTAGTATGTGGGTTCTACTTTATCCATATTAGCCAAACTATAACTTTTATATCCATACTGATTTGGACCAGAGGTGATTCTAAATTGTGAAAATCTTGGGGGTGGAAGGGAGGAGAAGATAAGGAGGGGGTAAAATTTGAGGACAGTCCTTCCACAAAGCTTGAAGTACAAATAATTTGGATAAACTAGATTCAAATATGCCAAGCCAGATGAATGAGTCTGCACTGTTTGGAAATTTTATTTTCTCCTTGATTTCTCTCTATCTATATCTCTTCCTCTCCCCCTCCCTTTCTTCCCCCTCCTTCAATCCTTCTCTCTTATCTGATAAACTTACCTAGGGGGATTTGGAAACCTGAATAATCTTCCTTGTAGCTTATCTAGCCTGCTTCACCACAGGTGGTCTCTAGCAAATGAATACTACTGCTCTTGGAGTTGGGCCTGCTTCTGGCACATCATTCCTTATGTATTTATTGGCTTCCACATGATTGATTTCTTTTGCCGATACTTAATATATTAGCATACATATCAATTTATTCATTGATGTATTACAAGCCTTTAAACCTGTAGAGGTGTGGGAGGTGACTGGCATTTGGTTTCCACTTACCTGTTTTATATACATTTTCATGCCTTTTATTTAATTAATGAGTCAACTCATATTTATCAAATAATAGCTAGAAGTGGAAATAGTGCTTAAAATATTGTTGGATTGACATCAAGAACCTTGTTCTATGTAAGAGTTAAGTAGAACCAGAGTAAAAGCTTTAGGGGATCATTGTGAAATATCAAATTTTATACCAAAATGGGGGGAAGGGTTCCCCCTTTTTTTCCTGTGCCCTAGGTGTGTTTTTAGACTGCCTTTGAGGTATCTGGCTCCATTGATATTATATATAACCAGGTATGGAAAGCTATTTATGACTCACCAAGTTATAAACTCAGTGATCTAGCAGATAGCAAGTGATTCCGTGAAGCATAAGGGAAGAGTAATAGTTATTTTAAAGAGAATAGTTATTTCAAAGAGGATAGTTATCTTAGAGGCGCATTTTTTCCTAACGAAAAAGGAACTATTTCACCTAAGCCCAAGATTCATATTCTCAGACAACCCCAAAATACTAGACACACTTAGATTCCATCAGCTACTTTGGTTTCTTATAATTAATTAACATCCGTTATTTGTTTCCCCCCTTTAATTCACCTGAGGTGACGTGGTCATTAAACACAAAAGGTATCGTTTGTAATTTGATAATTCATAGCTCATCCATGGCTCTTTCAATTTGACTCATCTAAGGTAGTTCTAAGAGTCTTCTCACTCGGAGCCCTGAAATGTTCCTTATAAAAATGTCAGTAAAATAGGGCAATGTGATGCTGGACTTGCTTCAGTGGACCACCTTCCTGTCGTGGGAAATCCTGTATTTACCTAAGGCTTAAGGAAGCTGAAGCTATTTTTAGAGGTCATTTAGATAAGCAGATACTTCACACCTGATGGGCTTCTGGGGGGTTACCATTCAGATGTAAATTTTGGTTGCTAATTTCTTATGTAAATTATTGGAATAGAGTAGTTTCCTACCCTGCTGGGAGGCAGTTGAGTGTCTAAAAGGGTGAAGAGCAACCAAATTTTAGGCCTCCAAATACTGCCTTGATTACTTTAGTTTGTATTTACAGCTGTTTCAGTAAACTTTTCCCTCCCCCCATTTAGATTACTCTGTAACCTTCAAATTGGAGATAATTGGAGAATGCAAATTGGGTTCTGTGAAGTGAAAACCTTGGCTATTTTCTTAAGGAAATGCAGATGAAGTTTATAAAGAGGAGCCCTCTTACTATTTTTTTAAATTAATTTGCTGCAAGGGTCTTGGTTTTGGACAATATTTTACTTTTATTCTCAGAAAATGAGACTATTTAGAGGCACATTTGTCAAATAAATTGCAATTTGTATGCCCACCTCAATGATAGCTTATCTTTCTTGCCCATGCTTTCTCCAGGAGCCTCTAAAAGAAACATTAGATCTTTCTTTCGGGATTAGTTCAGAGATAATTCAAAATTATCCTACAGGGAGTAGTAAGGTTTCTTTTATTTTAATAAAAGATTTTAATTGAGCTTTAATATTGATCTTTATTAGGTCAATAATCTAATACATCTCTAACAGTGGGGAAATAGAACCACCTGTTACACCAGATATTTGAATCCCTGGGGGTTTGAAAATCATTTGTTGGGGAATGCTCTAACTGATACTCTTGAGGTTCCATATAGCTCTGATGGTCTAAAAAGGTTTGCAATAATTTGCAGATTGGTACAAATTGGTACAGGCTTAAGGTTCTATCTAGTCCACTCTTCCTAATATAGAGTGACTCAAGGCTGTAGATGTATTACTACTGCCAGTATTACTCCTGGTGACAGAAACAACTCCCCAGGCATTCTGTTTGCCATCAATTGGCAATCGTGCCAGGCTAGCGTGGATCAGTAGTTAAGCGTCAATCTATGAACCAGGAGATCAAGGTTCAATTCCCGGTCAGAGAATATGCCTGGGTTGTGGGCTTGATCCTCAGTGTGCTCCATACAAGAGGCAGCCGATCAATGGTTCACTCTCATCATTGATGTTTCTATCTCCCCCTCTCTGAAATCAATAAACATTTATTTTTTAAAAAAATAGGCAGTCGTGATCCTCTCATCACTGAATTTGGGGAGATATTACTTTTTGGAGCAAATCACAATAAAGGTGATACTTCTTAGGGAAAATGTGTTTCTAGGTTTATTGTCTATATGTAAATTAATAAATCCTTTGATTAAAAATTTAGTGTTCCTTTTAGGACTTTAAAATGCCTCCAGATTTAGTATTTTAGAATTTGGTGGAAAAGACTATGTTCACCCCTCATAGTTTTAGCTCTGGATTATAACTGTTCTTAGTTTTTCTTTAGCTAAGTTGAATAGTATGCTTTTTATCTGTTTCCACATAGTAAACGTCCCATGTCTTATATCACTAAACTTTACTGGACTCATTATGTAACCTTGGGCAAGTTCCCTAACCTTTTTGAGCTTCAATTTCTTCATCTATGAAAAGGAGATAGTGGTACCTACCTACAGTTGTTGAGAGGGTTAAATAACATAATTTAAATAGTGATTAGCACTGTACCTGACTTAGGTTAAGTGCTCCATAAATTTTAGCTGCCATCAATATCATGATAATATCACCATCATTATTATCAATTTCCAGTTTCCAGATTTTAAAATAAACTGTGAGTCCTGTCCCTTATTCTGAGTGGGGGCAGCAGAATTTTTTTCAAGGGGTTTATGTATTCTTAGCCTCCAAAAATGTTTGTAAACTGAATAACTAATATGACTGAATATAAAAATGACTATTTTTCAAACAAATATAGATGATATTGTGAATGATAAAAGACAGATTCATTTAAAATTGTTAAAGAATTCACAAAAAACTTTTAAAAATATATTTGTATTGATTTCAGAGAGGAAGGGAAAGGGAGAGAAAGATAGAAACATCAATGATGAGAGAGAATCATTGGTTGGCTGCCTCCTGCATGCCCCTTACTAGGGATCAAGCCTGAAACCCAGGCATGTGCCCTTGACCGGAATTGAACCTGAGGCCCTTCAGTCCCACAGGCCGATGCTGTATCCACTGAGCCAAACCAGGTAGGGCACACAAAAACACTTTGATATTATTTTTCTCAATTTCCAAACATAAAAAGTTAAATTTGAAATTTTTTAATGTTTAAAAGGGATCTACACACTTGTCCTTATCAATTTAGTCTTTCTTCTATTGACTTTTTTCAATTTTATTATGTCTGCTTTTGTGGTTTGATGATCCAGACCATATAGTAGCTTTATGCACCACAGCTTCATATAAAATTTGGATGTTGTTATCTTTTCATTTCTCATATACTAACTGATGGCATCCAATTGTTTGTTGGCATTTGATTAAATCATAATATTAATTGATGCTAGAAGAATTTTGCATGGTTCTTCTCCACTTTATATTGGGCAGTGATGATAGAGGTCGCCTCAGGTTTGTGTGTAAAGAGTCCATTCTCCCTCTCCTATAACTCTCTCAAATAGCACTTTCATTCAGCCTAATTTGGTTGCAAGTGACAGAAACCCAATTCAAACTAGCTTAGGTAGAATGAAGAGGTTATTGGAAGAATTCCAAAGCAAAAGGTGTCATGACCAAACCATGGGAAAGACAGATACAGCTGAGCTTCAGGGATCCAAACTCTGCCAGAACACGCACCCCCCCCCCCCACACACACACACACACACCACCACCACCACCACCACCACCACCACCACCACCACATCCCTCCTATCTTTGCTGACAGACTTCTCTCACAGAGCAAGGAACAGAGTTGCACAGAGCTAACCAAGCCATGCTTTCATGTTCAGAATTCTTAAGGAAAATGCTTTGATTGGCTTGGTGTATGTCAAGTGTCCACCCCTGCACTGATCAAGTATGGCCAGAAACGTGGGATGTTCCAGTGGCCCAGCTTCAGTCAGGTACCAGCTCCAGATCAATCTAGAATGTCACAACTCTCCAGGGGAATCACATGATTAGAGTGCAGGGAGGATCATGTCCCTGAAGACTTGCAGATCAGTGATCTGTGACAGAAAATAGCGGTCCTCTGTAATATTGCTTTGTGATTATCAGTTCCTTATACAGTCTTCTAATTAGCTGTAATATGAGTTCTTTTTTTTTAAATCCTCACTCAAAAATATTTTTTCATTAATTTTTAGAGAGAGTAGAAGAGAGAGGAAAAGACAGAAATATTGATGTGAGGTAAACACATCAATTGGTTGCCTCCTGCACGTGCCCTAACGAGGGCCTGGGCTAGGGAGGAGCCTGCGACCGAGATACGGGCCCTTGACCAGAATCAAACCCGGGACCTTTCAGTCTGCAGGTCCACTGAGCCAAAACGGCCAGGGATATAACATGAGTTCTTAGAGGAAGATATCTGTATCCCCAGGCCTAGTACAACATCAGTTGCAAATGATTTTTAATAAATCATGAACTAATGAATTACTGTAATGTGTTATTTTGTCATATCTTGTCATTTCATGTCATAACTCGTGAAAATAACCTAACAGTTCTGACTTCTAGTCCCTGCCTATTCGTTTCTGAGTCACCAAACTCGGAGCTTCAGTCTCCTTTACATGAAACAGAGAGCATCTCTGTTCTTTGATTGTTCCTTTGTAAAAGTGAATTTGCATTGAGAGTTAAAATATTATATTGTGTGCACATAAAAATTACCTACATTTTTTTCAAAGTTTGCTGTATCTTTATCATATTTTTACTTATGGAAAAAAAATATGAAAGTTGTCAGTGTTGGCTGCATCAGTCAGAATATCTCCTAATGTCTTTTCATCTCTATTCAGAGGGGCACATATAATAGATTTGTCTTCTCATTGGAGTACACAGACTTTAAGTTCTTAATAGTGATCCCCACAGGTAAACTTTACTCTCCAAATGGGTTACAAAGCATTTTAACCTCCCTAAACATTTCTGTCTTTTTTCTGGTTTTCAGGTTTTTGTCAAGCAGGAAAGGATTTGCGTTTGGTATCTCTGTGTATGGAACAAATCGACATCCCAGCAGGGTTCCTTCTGGTGGGGGCAAAGTCTCCCAATCTTCCTGAACACATCCTAGTGTGTGCTGTAGACAAACGATTTCTACCGGATGATCATGGGAAAAATGCACTTTTAGGTGAGTATTTCACACCTATAAAATTCCTTCCAAGCCATAATCGGTTTGGCTCAGTGGATAGAGCGTCGGCCTGCGGACTGAAAGGTCCCAGGTTCGATTCCGGTCAAGGGCATGTACCTTAGTTGTGGGCACATCCCCAGTGGGGGGTGTGCAGGAGGCAGCTGATCGATGTTTCTCTCTCATCGATATTTCTGACTCTCCCTCTCCCTTCTTTTCTGTAAAAAATCAATAAAATATATTTTTTAAAAAATTCCTTCCAAGATGGAGTTAAAATACAAGTTTATTTTAAATTATCACTGAATTTTTTTAAAATTGCAGAATTAGTTGAGGAATATGGAGTTTGGCAAAAGTAGGTTTATAGTTGTGAGTATGCAAAACAGTTTATTCTTGTATTATTATTTATTGTATTATTTTCCATATGAACAAATGTAAACATACTTTTACCACACCCTATATAGTTTAGTGCAAATATGAAACATTTTTCCTACTACTTAAAAGTTATTTTTTATTTTTTATTCATTCTCAAAACACCTGATGTCAGGTCCTCTCAATTATTCAGCTGTGGATTATCTACTTTGTAACTTTCTTGTAGTTTTTCCATACCATCCATTATTTATAACTACCCTTGGTTGATGTGATTCTCATTTTATATTTAGCATTAGTTCACCCAACATAACTAGGAAAAAATATACCCTATATAATAAAACCCTAATATGCAAATCGACCAAATGGTGGAATGACTGGTGGAATGACTGGTCGCTATGACGCACACTGACCACCAGGGGCAGACGGTCAACGCAGGAGCACCGTTCAGCCAGAGCTGGCAAGCACAGTGGCAGTGGCAGGAGCCTCTCCTGCCTCCGCTGCAGGAGGGCATTAAGGAGCGAGGGGTCCCAGACTGAGAGAGGGATTGTCTGACTACCTTCGGACATCCCCCGAGGCATCCCGGACTGCGAGAGGGCACAGGCCAGGCTGAGAGACCCTCCTCCCAGTGTATGAATTTTGTGCACCGGGCCTCTAGTATATATATAAAATAATGCATACCTTTATCTCAAAATTGTTTTGCTTTCTGGTATGCTGTGCTTTACATCCATGCGACTATTTAGTAACTACCAAATTGTACTTCTTAATCCCTTCACCTTTTTTACTCAGCCCTACAACAACCACCCTTCTGCCCCCCCCCACCCTAATCTGGCAAACCCTTAGTTTGTCCTCTGTATTTATCAGTCTGTTTCTGTTTTATTTATTTGTTCATTTTGTTCTTTAGATTCCACATATAAGTGAAATCATATGGTATTTGTCTTTCTCTGTCTGACTTATTTCACTTAGCACAGTACCCTCTAGGTGAGTAATGGCGAACCTTTTGAGCTCGGCGTGTCAGCATTTTGAAAAACCTTAACTTAACTCTGGTGCCGTGTCACATATAGAAATTTTTTGATATTTGCAACCATAGTAAAACAAAGACTTATATTTTTGATATTTATTTTATATATTTAAATGCCATTTAACAAAGAAAAATCAACCAAAAAAATGAGTTCGCGTTTCACCTCTGACAAGCGTGTCATAGGTTTGCCATCACTGCTCTAGGTCCATCCATGTTTCACAAATGGTAAGATTTCAGTCTTTTTTTATGGCCAAGTGATACTCCATTGGACATATATACCACATCTTTTTTATCCAATCATCTATTGATGGGTTGCTTCCATATCTTGGCTGTTATAAATAATGCTGCAGTAAACATAGAAGTGCACATATCTTTTTAAATTAGTGTTTTGGATTTCTTCAAATATTTACCCAGAAGTGGAATCACTGGGTCATACAGAAATTCCATTTTATTATGTAGTTTATTTTTTGTTATTTTGTTACTTTGATTGTTGACATTATTACAGATGTCCCCCATTCCCCCTTTGCTCCCTACACCTAGACCCTGCCCTTTCCTCCGTCTGGCCCTAACCACATTTTTGTCTGTGTTCATGGGCTATGGATATATGTTCTTTGACTATTTTCTTCACCTTTCATCCTGTCTACCGCCCCCCCCCTTCCCTTACACATTTGTCAGACTGTACTATGTATCCATAACTCTGGTTCTATTTTGTTCATTAGATTACACATGTAAGTGAGATCATATGGTATTTATCTTTCTCTGACTGGCTTATTTCGCTTAGCATTATAATCTCCAGGCCCATCCATGCTGTAGCAAAACCGAAGAGTCCCTTTTAATAGCCACATAGTATTCCATTGTGTAAATGTACCACAGCTTTTTTATCCACTCATCTATCGATGGGCACTTGGGCTGTTTCCAGATTTTGTCTATTGTAAATAGCTCTGCTATGAACATAGGGGTGCATAGATTTTTTCTGATATATATTTTTAGGATATATTCCCAGAAGTGGGACCACTGGGTCAAAAGGCAGTTTTATTTTTAATTTTTTGAGGAAACTCCATACTGTTTTCCAAAGTGGCTGCACACCATTATAAATTCCTACCAACAGTGCACTAGGGTTCCTTTTTCTCTACATCCTCTCCAGCACTTGTTTTGTGATTTACTGATGGTAGCCATTCTAGCAGATGTGAGGTGATATGTCATTGTAGTTTTAATTGGCATCACTTTGATGATTGGTGATGTTGAGCATTTTTTCTATTGGCTATCTCTATGTCCTCTTTGAGAGGTCCTTTGTTCATTTTTTAATTGGATTGTTTGTCTTCCTGGTGTTGAGTTGTATATGTTCTTTATATATTTTGGAAATTAAACCCTTATCAGATATACCATTGGCGAATATGTTCTCCCTTACAGTGAGTTCCCTTTTCATTTTGATGATGGTTTCTTTTGTTGTGTAGAAGCTTTTTAGTTTGATGTGGTTTCACTTGTTTATTTTTTTCTTTGTTTACCTTGCCCTAGGAGATATATCAGCAAAAATATTGCTATGAGAGACGTCTGAGATTTTTGGGATTTTACTGCCTATATCTTCTAGGATTTTTATGGTTTCATGACTTACATTTAAGTCATTTAAACATTTTGACTTTATTTTGTGTCTGGTGTAAGTTGGTGGTCTAGTTTCATTTTTTGCATGTACCTGTCCAATTTTCCCAGCACCATTTATTGATGAGACTGTATTTACTTCATTGTATACTCTTGCCTCCTTTGTCAAATATCAATTGACCATAGAGGCATGGATTGATTTCTGGGATCTCTGTTCTGTTCCATTGATCTATATGCCTATTCTTTGCCAGTACCAGGCTATTTTGATTACAGTGGCCTTGTAGTATAGTTTGATATCTGGTATCCAACTGTGTTCTATCTCAAGATTGCTGAGGCTACTTAGGTCTTTTTTGGTTCCATATAAATTTTTTAAATACTTTTTTTAGATCTGTGAAATATGCCATTAGTATTTTAATAGGGATTGTACTGTCTATAGATTGCTTTAGTGTGGGTATTATAATGATATTAATCATTCTTCCAGTCTAGGAGCATGGTATTTGCTTCCACTTTTTGTGTTTTCTTCAATTTCTTTCTTCAATGTCCTATAGGTTTTCGAGTACAGGTCTTTTACCTCCTTGGTTAAATTTATTCCTTCGTACCTTTTGTTGTTGTTGTTATTGCAATATTAAATGGGATTGCTTTCTTAGGTTCTCTTTCTGAAAGTTCATTATTGGTGTATAGGTTTCTGGATATTGAGTATATATCCTGCTACTTTCCCAAATTCATTTATTAGATCTAGTAGTTTTAGGGTGGAATCTTTAGGGTTTTTTATATATAATATTATGTGATCTGTGAATAATGACAGTTTTACTTCCTCCTTTCCAATTTGGATCCCTCTTATTTCTTCTTTTCTGATCACTGTGGCTAGAACTTCCAATACTATGTTGAATAAGAGTGGTGAAAGCAGACATCCGTCTCTTATTCCTGATCTTAAGGGAGACACTTAGTTTTTGACTATTAAGTATGATGTTGACTGTAGGTTTTTCACATATGGCTTTTATTATGTTGAGATATGGTCCATTTATTCCCACTTTGGTGAGAGTTTTTATCATAAATTAGTTTGGATTTTATTGAATGTTTTTTCTGCATCAATTGATATGATTTGAAATTTTTATCTTTCATTTAGTTTATGTGATGTATCACATTTATTGATTTGCAAATATTGTACCAGCCTTGCATCCCCGGAATAAATTCCACTTGATCATGGTATGTAATCTGTTTAATGTATTGCTGGATCTGATTAGTTAATATTTTCTTGAGAATTTCAGCATCAGGGATATTGGCCTATAATTTTCTTTCTTTGTAGTGTCTTTGTCTAGTTTTGGAATTAGGATAAGTTTGGCTTTGTAAAATGAGCTTGGGAGTATTCCCTCCTCTTCAATTTTTTGGAGTAGTTTGAGGAGAATGGGTTTTAGCTCTTCTTTGAATGTTTGGTAAAATTTGCCTGTGAAGTCATCCGGTCCAGGACTTTTGTTTGCTGTGAGTTTTTTTTTTTAATTATTATTATTACTGCTTCAATTTCATTAGTTGTTAATTGGTCTATTTAGGTTTTGTGATTCTTCCTGATTGAGTTTTAGAAGATTGTATGTTTCTAGGAATTTGTCTATTTCATCCAGGTTGTCCTATTTGTTGGCATATAGTTATTCATACTAATTTATTCCTTCCTTCCTTCCTTTCTTTTATTGATTTCAGAGAGGAAGGGAGAGGGAAAGAGATAGAAACATCAGTGATGAGAGAGAGTCATTGATCTGCTGCTTCCTGCATGCCCCCTACTGGGGGTCTGTGGAGAGCGGCTACAGCGTTTGGACAGGCTCAAGCTTTGGACTAATGAGAGGGCACAGTCCCAGCTTGGAGGGCAAAGCCCTCCCAGCACAATTATAGCCAAAGGCTATGGTTGTAAGGTTGACCTTATGGTCCGAACCTGTGGTCCCAGGTGGCTGAGTGATGTGGGCTGCGGGAGGTGCAGCAAGTGCTGCCAAAACAGAGCTTGATAGAGTTCTCAGGTGCATGTAATCAAGTAGATTCAAAACTCTCCAGAGAACATTGTAAACATCTTGACCACGCCCTTGCTTTGCCTTGTGGGATCTGACTTTAAAATAAAGACTCAGCTTGCAGGCTGTGGCACTGTCTCTCCATCTGAGAACAGTGTCCCACCTGGCCCCAACTGTATTCTCTTGTCTGTTTTCTTTAATCCTTCACCACCCCTCCTCAGGTTCACCACTGGCTGTGCTGGATGTGGTTCAGGGGTTGAGCCTACAACCCAGGCATGTGCCCTTGACTGGAATCTAACCCAGGACTCTTCACTCCACAGGCCGATGCTCTAGCCACTGAGCCAAACTGGCTAGGGCCATACTATTTTCTTACAACTTTTATATTTCTGTGATGTCAGTTGTTACTCTCCTCTTCCATTTTTTATTTTACTTATTTGGGTTCTCTCTCTTTGTTTCTTGGTAAGTCTGGTTAAAGTTTCATCAATCTTTTTTTTAAATATTTTTTTAATTGATTTTAGAGAGGGAGAGGGAGAGAGAGATAGAAACATCAATGATGAGAGAGAATCATTGATCGGCTGCCTCCTGCACGCCCCATACTGGGGACCAAGCCTGCAACCCGGGCATGTGCCCTTGACTAGAATTGAACCTGGGACCCTTCAGTCAATGTTCTATCCAATGAGCCAAACCAGCTAGAGCAAGTGTCATCAATCTTGTTTTATGTTTTCAAAGAATCAGCTCTTGGTTTCATTTGGAATTGTTTTTTTGTTTTTCTTTTTAGTTTCTGTCATTTATTTTTGCTCTGATCTTTATTATTTTCTTACTCTGAGCTTCCCCAGTTCTTTCTCTAGTTGTGGAAGTTCCATTTTTAACTTTTTAAGGATCCTCCATATGGTTTTCCATAATGGCTGCCCAAATTTGCAGTGTTCCCTTTGTTTGTTGATTCATTGATGATAGCTTTTCTGCCAGGTGTGAGGCGATACCCCATTGTGGTTTTAATTTGCATTTCTTGGATAATTATTGATGTTGAGCATCTTTTCATATGTCTATTGGCCATTTGTATGCCTTCTTTGGAGAAATTCTAGTCAGATCCTCAGTCCATTTTTTAAGGGGATTGTTTGTTATTTGGGTGTTGAGTTATATGAGTTCTTTATAAATTTTGGATATTGACTCCTTATCAGATATATCATTGGCGAATACACTCTCCCATTCATCACGTTCCTTTTATTTTGTTGATGATTTTCTTTGCTGCGCAAAAACTTTTTTTGTTTGATGTAGTCCCACAGGGTATACCAAGGCCATCTGCCATCTGCCTGGTGCTGTGGATCTTTGTGGTGGGGTGGGGTCTCAGAGAGTCATCAGGGTAGAGCTGGTCAAGTTCACCAGGCTAAAGCAGATTCAGATCTGGCTGTGTAGGGGGAAGGCTCAACATAGGAAAGATAGTGCTCATTCCATTAGCCCTCACTCTGATGCCACACAGCTCAGTTTCTCTCCTGGTTTGACTGGAATTCCTTGAGTGTTTTTAAGGAAAGACTGCAACACAAGCCTAGGCTGGCTGCTACTGTATGAGCCTCTGGCAATGAGTGAGTTGGGTGGGGTGCATCTTAGCATCTGTCAGGGTGGAGTAGTGGAGTTCAGCAGCCTAATGCAGATGCAGCTTTGGCCATGCATTAGGAGGGCCCAACACAGGAAGAAAGGCAGCCATCTTCCTAGCCCTCACCCTGAAGCCACACACCTCAGTTTCTCCCTATATATTTCTGGAGCCCTTCCGCCTCAGCCACTGTCCCTCTGCTGAAACCCAGGGTAAGTGCCTGTGAACAAGAGTTTGTATACAGGCTCTTTGGGGGACACCTGGGTTTCCAGCAGCCTTCCGTCTCGCTGGACAGACAAATCTCCACTGATTTTCACAGTCAGATGTTGTGTGGGCTCTTCTTTCCACACTAGTGTTTCAGGCTGGGGAGCTAGGCATGGAACTTAGACCCCTTGCTCTCCAGGGGGCAGCCTCTGCAGTTGAAATATCCCTCCAGATCTCAACCACCACACACATGTAGTGGGGCCAGTCTGTTTTGTATCCCTGCCCCTCCTACTAGGCTAGTGGCTGAGCATAGACCTATGAACCAGGTCAAGGTTTGATTCCTGGTCAGGGCACATGACCAGGTTGCGGGCTCAACCAGGTTGCGGTGTGGGGTGTGCAGGAGATAGCCAATCAATGATTCTCTTTCATCATTAATATTTCTACTAGTATCTCTCTCCCCCTCTCCCTTCCTCTCTGAAATCTATTTTATACACACACACACACACACACACATACACTTTTTTTTAAAGATAGTCTGTCTTTAATCCTCATGGTCTTTCTCTTCTCTCCTTATCTATATTTGTTAATTATGTAGTAGATTGTTTTGGGGGCTTTAGAAAATGTATCACTTCATCAGTGAATTTATTTCCAATTACTTATTTGTATGTAGAGATGTTGTATTTATGAAGTTTGGAATGCCCTTTCTTATTTATATTTTTTTCCTTGTTCACTATATTATAGTACATGCGTTATGTCCTCATCAGTCATAACCAGAGGTGCTCACTCTCCTCCTGTCCACCTTTTCCTCTGTGTATTAAGGGAAACTGAAAAATCATTTCCAACAAAGCAAAGCTTGGCCTCTCATCCTCCGAGCCTTCTCCATTTCTCCTTTCTATGTCCCCTGCTCTAAGCAGGTCACTGAAAGTTTTATTTTGTTTGATTGATCTGACTGAGAATTGTTTGGATGTTATAGCTAAAAGAATCATAAGCTAGTTTGAGTAAAGAGGAAATGGGAATCTCAAGGAACTCATGCCAGGAAGTACAGCTAGATCTCAAAGAAACTGGAAAGTTGACAATGACCTGAGTTTACACATCAGTGCCCATGCTCTTCTATCTACAGACCAGCTTCCTCTTCACATTTCTGTTTGTTCTCTCCCACACCTTAGCTGACATGTGCCAACTTGGGTTCCAATTTTACAAAACCTCATAAATTCAGGGTCCACAGCTATCTGATTGACTCTTTGTAATTATGTAAGTGCCTGTGAACAAGAGTTTGTATTCAGGCTCTTTGGGGAACATAAATTTCAGGCGAGATATACTGACTGTCCCAGATTGAGTCAGATATTGGCCCACAGTCTAATTAGTCAATTCCACACAGTGGTCAGGGCAGAGAACCAGACCAGCAGGTTGTCTAAAAAGGGAGTATGTGGGGAAGAAATAATAGACATCTCTAGGACCTTTTCCTATTTTTTATGTCAATTATATAGTCTATCACATGTTATTGTCCACTCTGTTTTCCTAACCATTGTCTTTTTAGAGCATTAAACATTAAAAAAATTATTTTCAGTCTTTCACTGATATGAAATAACTGCTAAAATACTGTACATGGTTTTTCCTTTGAATTGTTTTTTTTTTTAAATTGGGAAATTATTGAGTCAAAAACGCTTAATAAGTGTGGGCTTCTTATATATAAAGGTATTGTAACAAAATACAAGGCCACCAGTAACGTGGGTTTCCCTCCTTCTAGGGTTTTCTGGAAACTGTATTGGCTGTGGAGAAAGAGGATTTCGGTATTTCACGGAATTTTCCAACCACATTAACTTGAAGCTCACCACCCAGCCAAAGAAGCAGAAGCACTTAAAGTACTACCTAGTCAGAAGCTCCCAGGGTGTTCTGTCGAAGGGACCTCTTATCTGCTGGAAAGGTAGCATCAACTTCTGGGAGGGAAAGGGAAGGGAAGGGAATGAGGACGGTACCATAATGACAAATGGCCCATTCAGAATTCAGGTGTGTTATAGATAAACATCCCAAGTTCAGAATGCTATCCAAAACCCCAAAGCCCTCTGGCAGGTTTTAGATTTGCTTTTGATTTTTTGTAGAGCCTATTCAAGTTTAGGAATGTGCATGTCTTTACGTATGTGTCTCTTGGGAGGGTGGAGTATAGCTCTTGGGGGGGGGGGGTGGTTATGGACTCTTTCTAGCTCTTCTGTCATTTGGAGAGGACCACAAAGTGTCAGTTTCCTGATTACATGCTCTTTTTACTTTACTTAATAGATTCTTTGGTAATTTTCAAGCACCTATATTTTTCTGTTTTAATGAGAACTATGCATACTTTAGAATAAATAACGCTCTCTTCATAATACCTGGGAAAATGCACTGTTCAGTTGACAAAGTTTTATTTCTTTTTAGTTAGGAAGAACTTAACTAGCTTATTTATAGAAATGAATCCAGTTGAAACTTCACATCTTCAAGTGTTGATGAAATTTAGCACAAGTTCTAATAATTATTCGAATGCAGTGGGATGTCTAACCCTGATTCTTTTTATCCGTTTCTTCTATGCTGAGATTTTTTTCTGTTATTCATATTACTATTTTATAGACAATATGATAATTGTTTATAATGTTTCTATTTGTAGTCTGTGCAATATTTTGACCTGACCATGAAAAATAACATAATAAATCCAAATTACAACTGCAGATTTGCCTCTGGGTCTTTCACCATATTTGCTCGTGGTTGCATTTGAAATGACATTGTGTAACTCCTTTGGGAATGGCTATATGTTCCAAACCAGATGTGAGCTTAACTTGTGACTACTAAATCATAAGTATAGTGTATTATAAATAACTCTTTATTCTAATAAAGTTTAAATAATTTTCCTGTAGAAAAATTGTTTTAAATATCATGAACTCTAATAAAAGAGCAAATATAAGATAGGTATTGTCTCCCTTTTTTTTTAATCCTCATCTGAGGACATGCTTATTGATTTTTAGAGAGAGGGAAATGAAGAGAAAGAACTTCTTACTTAGTGGTCAGTGACACCTCATCTTTCTGGGAAAGGATGTCTTTGAAATAGTTTGTGATACAAATGGGTGATTTCTGAAGTCTCACATTTATAGCAATTTCTGGAATTGGAATTTTATATGTCTAGTTATACATATACTAACATATATCAGTTTACAAATATGCATATATGCACATAATATGGAAATATCCTCTTAGGCAAAATACTAGTATACTAGCTCTTTAAGGAAGATCATAGCATAGAAGGTGATAGAAAACTGCCTCCAACCCTTGCTTGTATCTGATAAACTTGGAAACGCTCTAAAGGAACCTCTATAATTAGCTTTGTCATTTACAACCATTTATTATTTTTTAATTAAATTTGTTGGGATGACATTGGTTAATAGTATCATATAGGTTTCAAGTATACATTTCTATGGTACAAAATCTGTATATTGCATTGTGTGCACACTGGCCAAAGTCAAACCATCTTCCATCACCATATATTTGGCCCCCTTTACTCACCTACCCCCATCCCTCTGGTAACCACCATACTGTTGTCTGTGTCTATGAGTTTCAGTTTTATATCCCACATCTGAGTGAAATCATGTGGTCCTTAGCTTTTTCTAACTGACTGACTTATTTTGCTTAGCATATATTCTTGAGGTCTATCCATGTAATTGCAAATAACAGTATTTCATCTTTTCTTATGACTTAGTAGTATTCCATTGTATACATGTACCACATCTTCTTTATACCATCCTCTATCTAAGGATATTTTGGTTGTCTCCATGTCTTGGCCACTGTGAATAATGCTACAATGAACATAGAGGTGCATATATCTTTGCCGAATAAATGCTTTTGGGTTTTTCAGGTAGATACCCAGAAGAATTGCTGGGTCATATGGTAACTCTATTCTTAATTTTTTGAGAAACCACCATACTGTTTTCCATAGTGGCTGCACCAGTTTACATTCCCACCAGCAGTAAATGAGGGTTCCATTTTCTCCACTATCTCTCCTCACTTGTTATTACCTGCCTTATTAATAATAGCCATTCTAACAGGTGTGAGATGGTATCTCATTGTAGTTTTGATTTGCATTTACCTAATAGCTAGTGAAGTTGAACATCTTTTCATATATTTATTGGCCATTTGTATGACTTCTTGGGAGAGGTGTCTGTCCATTTTTTAATTTGATTGTTTATTTGCTCATTTTTTAATTGGATTGTTGGTTTGGTGTTGAGTTGTATGAATTCTTTATATATTTTGGGTATTAACCCCTTGTCAGAGCTATTGTTTGCAAATAGCATCTCCCATATTGTTGGTTGAATGGGAAATGATATCGAAGCATCTAAAAGTGAGCAAATGGAAACAAACAGGGGAGGCAAGAAAGCAGAAAGGCTGAGATGTGCCAGGTAGCTGTGCAGCCAGGAGCTCACTGTGGGGCTCAGCCTGGAGAACGGAGGAGATTGGATGTGGTTGGTGTTCCCTTTAGCCAGGAGGAGCCGAGAAAAAGAACAAAAACAGCCCAAAATCAGCAGGAGAAAGGAATTAATAAAAATTAGAGCAGAATTGAAGAAAATGATGAACAAAAAGACTATACAAAAGATTAATACAACAAAGAGCTGGTTCTTTGAAAAGATTAATAAAATTAGTGAACCCCTGGCTAGACTCACTAAGGAAAAAAAAGAAAAGACTCATATAAATCAGAAAGGAAAGAGGAGAAGTTACCACAGATATCACAGATATACAAAGGATCATACTAGCATACTGTGAGACTGTGTGCCACCAAATTCAATATCCTGGAATAAATGGATAAGTCCCTAGAAATATATAACTTTCCTAGACTGAAGCATGAAGAATTGGAAATTCTAAATAGACCAATCAACAGTGAGGAAGTTGAAACAACCATAAAAAATCCCCCCCCCCCAAAAAAAAGTCCAAGACCAGGTGGTTTCACTAGTGAATTCCAGCAACCATTCAAAAAAGATTTGATACTTATCCTTCTCAAACTCTTCCAAAAAAATTTAAAAAGAGGCATACTTTCTAAAATATTTTTTGAGGCCAATATAGCCCTGATACTAAAACCTGGCAAGGAAAACGCAAAAAAGAAAACTGCAGACCAATATCTCTGATGGAAAGTTGTGAAGATGGCGGCATAGGTAAACACCTGAACTTGTTGCCGTGCACAACCACATTAAAACTACAACTAAAAGACAAAACGAATATCATCCAGAACCACGGGAAGGCTGGCTGAGTGGAAATTCAACTAAAAGGAAAGAGAAAAGTGCATTGAGTCTGGTAGGAGGTGCAGAGGTGTGGAAGTGTGGAGGTACAGAGGCATGCACGAAAGGGGCTGGCAGCTGGGTATGCAGTTGTCTTTTTCAATCGGGAGGGAGATACAAGCTCCTGACTACTCTGAACTCCAGTTCTGGGCGAGAATTTGGGGACCCAGACTCATATGGAGAGAAACTGGACTGTCTGGCACCGGGACAGGAATGTGAGGGTGGCTTTCTCGCAGAGGTGCTTGCAGTGTTCATTGTTCCTGCACAGAGCCGCGGGACACAGGCCCCAGGACCTCTCTGAGGCAGAGCAGACTGGAAGCCATTGCGGTTTGCTCTGCCCTGGTGATTCCCTGAGACCCCACCCCACCCAATTTACAACCCCACCCAAGCTGTGCGCAGAGGCTTTTACATATGAACGGCCTGGCCTTTCTCCACCTAAAAACCTGTCAAACTGTAGGTGGGTCAGAGAACCCCAGAGTTTCCAAAAGAAGGCCTAAGGCTCGTCAGCAGCCTGCATTGCTTCAGAGCTGTACCTCATCTGGGCACCTCCAAACCCCAAATAAAGAGGAAGAATCTGCAGAACTCTCTGTAGCTCCTGCTGGGTGGCCTCAGGCAGTGGCTGACTTTTCACCTCCTTGGAGATCCAAAGCCAGTGTACCCAGTGGTCAGAGTGAGACCATCCAGATTACAACTCTTCACATCCATGAGAGACACACTTGGGGCAGACTCAGTGAGTGTCAAAGCCCCACTGAAGCAAGTCCTGCCCCATAAGGGTGTCTCCAGCACAGCAGTTCTCCCATTGTAGACACAAATGGTCCTCACAGCCAATTGGCCTAGAGGTCAATTCTTCCCAGTGATACCAACAGCAATCAAAGCTTTACTACAACAAGACTGTGCACACAGCCCACGAAGGGGTGCACCAAGAGTGTCCGCCTCAGGTAATTGGGGAGGCTGAGCCACTGGGCCCTATAGGACACCTGGCACACAAGGCCACTCTATCAACACAGGGAAGCATAAAAAATGTGGAGACAAAGAAACAGGACACAAATGACAGAAATGGAGGAAAGCAAAATACTGGATATAGACTTCAAAACCACACTTTTTATATATATATATTTTTTATTGATTAAGATATTACATATGTGTCCTTGTCCCCACGTTACCCTCTACCCACCCCCCCCCGCTCATGCCCTAACCCCCCCGTTGTCCAGGTCCATTGATTAGGCCTATATGCTTGCATATAAGTCCTTTAGTTGATCTTTCCCCCTTACCCCCACCCTCCCCTACCTTCCCTCCAAGGCCCGACAGTCCAATCAATGTCTCTCTGTCTCTGGATCAGTCCTTGTTCATCAGTTTATGTTGTTCATTATATTCCACAAATGAGTGAGATCCTGTGGTATTTTATCCGCTCTCCAGTTCCATCCATGCTGTGGCAAATGGTAAGAGTTCCTTTTTCTTCTTCCTCTTCTTAAAGAATACCTTTCAGCATTTCATATAATGCTGGTTTGGTGGTGATGAACTCCTTTAGCTTTTTCTTATCCGTGAAGCTCTTTATCTGACCTTCTATTCTGAATGATAGCTTTGCTGGATAAAGTAATCTTGATTGCAGGTTCTTGCTATTCATCACTTTGCATATTTC